ACCGTTATTAATTTCTAGTGAAATTAATTTATGGTAAAACATAAAAATTACTTGTTTATGGTATTTTTTTGGGGTCAACACTTAATAAAAACTGTTTTGGAAAATAATATATTGTTTCTAAAAAGGACTATAATTTTTTGAAATTTTAATTTATTTGAATTTTGAAAGGACCGTTAATACTTTTTAGTGAAACTAATTTGTGGTGTAAACATGAAATTATTTGTTTAAGGTAATTGTTTTTTGAATCAACGCTTAAGGAAAATTGTTCTGGAAAAAATATGTTTCTATACCGATGGTAGTGATTGAGATTTATCTCCGGATTTCTTATAACTGATATTGAAATTTAGTGTTCCATTTAATTAATATATTAAATACTTTGAACTCTTTAACTTATGACTATACTTAATGGTTGTAAGTTAGTTCATGACATAAGTGACAGTCAGACAGTCAACCATGATATTATACACTATGATATATTTAACCAACTAATTTGTTTCATGAAATATATGACTAATTAAAGTCAGTTACAAGACCGGATAGATATAAATAACTAATCAAAGCCTGTTTATTATTACTCCATAGGCAACTAATTTCGATGTAAAAACAAAGCCAACTAATTTTGTAACGTTCAATAAAAAAAAATTCTCTCCAAATGTAGTAGATTTGTTCGTTTTAAGGTATTAAATAATTTTGTATTTTGAATTTTATACGGAAAACATTGAATATTTTTAGTGAAATAATTTATGATGTAGACTTAGAAATTACTTGCTTTTAGTAAAATATTTTTTGGTCAGAATTTCTGGAAATTTTGTTTTGGAAATATATTATTTCTATCATATTAGGCATTACAAATTCCTGGGGGTGATTCATATAATCTGTTCAGTGGTTTAGCTTCGGCTGGATTAAGTATTGATAATTAAGATTAGTGGTTCTATTTAATTAAATATATTTCAACTGTTTAAGTCATTATAAATCACTTCAATTATATAATTATAGAGAAACTAATATGCAAAAGAAAACCATGATATATAAGACTTCTTATTTAAAGTCTTCAGTTTACCTGATTTAATTTAGGTTCCTTTTCTCCACCGGATTCATTTGTTAAAAAGAAGAAAAAAAATCACGACAGAAGTTTTATATTTCTAGTACCTAATTAATTTCGGAAGCATTTATTTCAGAATCTGACTTTATATTTTTTTATTTTTTTACTTTTTAAATACCATAAAGATATGTCATGTCTTTTCCCCCTATTTAAATTATACTGAAAAATAAAAATATTTATATTACTACATCATTTTCTACACTTTTCATAAACTTAGCCGAAATTGAGACTCACACAACAATCAAGATAAGGAAAACCATCTCTAAGTCTCCAACATGTCTGATTCCTCAAGTTCAGACTGGCGTCCTGCTACTTGTGATCTATTCAGATCTATGGTAAGTTCTGAATTTCGGTATAATATACAATTGATTCTTCATTTTTCATATTGATATGTTATTGTGTTAATTTGTGGAAAATCTACATTCGTTTTATTGGATAATATGGTTTTGTGCGAATTATCTCATTTTCTCATTGTATTGTGATTGAATATAGCTTTTTGTATGGTCTTATTAAAAAAATAATGATTTAGTGGTATCGGACGAAGAGCATAAATATATTTTGTTTAAATTCCCTCGCAAAATTTAAATGAGATGTCTTATTTGTTTGCGCGCGAAATTTGAATGAGACTGGTTATTTGTTTGGGCGCGAAAAGAAAAACAAAACTCATTTAGTTTCACAAAAACATAATCGATATGTTTATCATATCACAATAAATCATTATTTAGTTTTTCAAAAACATAGAAGATATATCATTTAGTTGGGGTATGTACATTAAGATGTAGAAACTGTGGATGAACGCATGTTTAATTAAAAGAATATAGCTTTTGTTTAAAAATTTTCGCAAAATTTTATTAAAATGTTTTCAATGTTTAGTTGTTTACACATGAAATGAATCTAACTATCATTTGATCTCTTTTTTTTAAAATACGGATGTTAACTTAAATTCTTAACATTTCAAAATCATGTTTGTTATTTGATTTATCAAAAACATGAATAGTATCTCGTATAGTTGGGGAAGGTACAGAACATAAGCAAGCCACCTCTAATCAAGATAAATTCATTTTTAGCTAAGAGTCACTATGTAAATGTCTCGTCTTTTGTTACTTCGTTTGATTCTTAAATTTAGTTATGGTTTTGGTATTAACGGGAGAATATATGATGAACTGAATATACAGACGTTTAAA